TAGTGGAGAAGCACATGTAGCCTTCAGACAGGTGTAGCTTGCCAGCGTAGTGGTAGCCTCGATCGTGGTCCTTGCCTCCATAGGTGGCATTGGCGGGCGGGATGGTCAACTCGGCATTGATCTCGTACAGCGGCGTCTGGGTACTGGGTAGGCGGAACTGGTTCTGGAACAGCGATGACTTGGATGGGTTCTTGTCCGAGTTGGTCAGGTTCAGCCCTTGGGTCGGGTCGACCAACTGCTGTGCCTTCTGCACGAGACTGGATAGAGTGAACATCCTGATGCTGTTGCACTCAGCTGGTCATGTCGGGGAGTGGTATCGTAAGGGGAGCGCGAATCGAAGGGCTCGGCTTGGGCCGGATGGATACAGATTCGCGGGATGCGTAAGGCAAGGTCGGCTCTTGGTCGACGGCTTGCAGACTTGGAAGGGCGAGGGTGGTTCGAGCCTAAAACGAGGTGCTGGCTGCCGAAGGAGTGAAAGGAGCTTTGGCGTCACAGCAAATGAATGGATGGGTCTTGAAGCATCAGTACGCCTCGAGATTGAAAGGCAGTTGTTCGATTCGGTGTTCGGGGAGAGAGTATGTGTGTGGGATTTCGTTGGATGATTTGATGGGGAGAGAAGCAGTAAGCAGCTGCGGGCCAAAGGTCGGGACTGGAGCTGAATGCAATGCAGTGGATAGTTGGAGAGGTTACCCGCCAAGGATTCCGTCCATGCCCAGAGGGTCACGGTACGTACCCGCCCTACCTTTTCTGAGCCCGTCTGCCCTATCTGAACTGCTAGTGACCTGCAGCTGTGGCAGCCCACCTGCACCACTCACACCTTACCTCCCACCTCCCTAACGCTTCCCACCTGGGCGACTTTAGGTGCTCGTGAACGGCAGTCAGGCACCTTAGCAACCTACCTCACCTGGCAAGGTGAGAGGCTTGCTACCCCTAATCGGACTGCACGGGAGGCACCTCATAGTGGGCGGCGTGGGCGGTTCGCAGCCCGGCAGTCCCCTGCAGAGGGGTAACCCCTCTGCACCTTATTTGCAACCCGCCTGCGCCGACCATTCTTAGGTCATGGCACTCCACCTCTTCCGTCAGTCTCATTCTCATCTCACCCATTAAACTCACCCGGCTACTCCCTCTTTTCCCCCTTTACTCAGCGAGAGGTCACACCTATACACACTTTTGGTTCGCAACCCCTTGATCTGCCTTGCCTTTTCCGCCGTACGGATATGATGGCATTTATCCCACCTTGGACATTCCAGTCTGGTTGACCCTCCAGATCAAGTTGAGATGATGTCACTTCCTTCCCTAAGGCCCTCGCCAAGGCCTTCACTACAAGAAAGAGCCTCATCAAACTGTCCGACACAAAACCCGATTGCTGGGCTATAACCAAAATGAGATACAAGTGAGATAAGTCCGAGAAAGGGAACGCATCGTTTGGTTCAGGTGACATGAGATTGGCCCATCACCAGAGTGACAATCCACGAGCATGTGTCATGCCCAACTCGGCTAGCTCCTCAAGGAGCTGAGACACTCACCCATGCTGTCATTGTCCTGGCCAGGACTTTTGGTCGGTGCTCACGGGGGCGCTCTGACAGCCTGGTCAGCCATCTCAGGTCGGGCAGCACGCTGCGATTTGCTTTTGTCTTTCGACTTGCTTCTTTCTGTGATGGCACGGCATCTCACTTGCATGTAGGCACTGTGGCAACAGGAAGAGACAACAACCGCCGGTCATGACTGCGATGCCTCATATGGATACGAAAATCCTCTTCTATTCCTTGATCGGAGTATCTCCTACCTCCGAAAGACAAGGTTCCAGAGTTCCTGAATTGCCCCCGGTACAGGCTGGCTAATTCTCCAATCGTAATCTAACGCCTTCAAATACCCGAGTGAAATGGGGTGGGAAAAAAAAACAATACCCAGCGATGCCTACCTTATCCAGGGTTTGACCAGCAGAATTTCCCTCACACACATATTCCAGACCGAAGCCTAGCAGCTTCTTTCCCCCATGTCCAAGCTCTGCCTCTCTCGAGCGACACTGAATGGGCCGCTCATTCTCTTGATCCTCGCTACCAAGTCTCATGCAGTACAGTTACAGGTTGGAGTATCATAACAAAAAACATGAAAGAATTACGGAGACCAACTCCTCCGAGTAAAGAACAACTCCGAACGCATGATTCATACAATGATGGGTCGAAAAGATTGACAAAGCTTGCGTCAAAAGTCCTTGAAGTACTGGTCGTATTTCTGGACCATGTCCTCTGTGTATGGCTCCCTCTTGCCGTCGTCCTCGGGGTAAATGTCGAAGCATTGCGCATCGCCGGGGTATCGAATCGGTGGGATGATGGGGCCTCGCACTCGTCGGTGGTACATGTCGTCCCAGTTGACCCCTCGGAAGAAGGGGTGTTCTTTGACCTTGGCTGCTCCCCCGCTAACGTTGCCTAGTCGTCGGGATCGGTCTACTGTGCAGAAGGATCTGATCAGATCTTGAGCTTCGGCTGATACTGGCGGGTCATGAGGGAACATGACGGGCTTCTCGACAATCCTGCCAAGTTTGTTAGTGGCTACTGCAATGAGAAAGAGGGAGCCTGCCGGCCGCTGCGGTGTAACTCACTGCTTGTAGATCTCGATTGGGTTCTGGTGCCAGAATGGCGGGTATCCGGTCAAGAACTCGTATATCAGAATGCCCAGCGCCCACCAGTCCACCGCCGTCGTGTGACCTTTGTTATGGATCACTTCCGGGGCGAGGTATTCGGGGGTGCCGCAGAGTGTGTAAGTCTCAATGGGCTGCCCTGAGCTGTTGCTCAACCTCTTTGCGAAGCCAAAGTCGACCAACTTGATATGGCCGTCGCCATCCAGGAGAAGGTTTTCGGGCTTGAGGTCACGATACGCGACACGGCCTTGTTGCTCGTGAAGGTACTCCAGTACTAGAACAATCTCTGCAGCGTAGAAGCGCGCCGTCTCCTCCTCGAAGCGCCGGAACTTGCGCAAGTAGCTGAAAAGCTCGCCGCCGGGGACGTAGTCTAGCAGCATGTACAAGTGATCGCGGTCGGCGAAGGAGGAAATAAGATTTGTGATGAAGGGGTGGCCGGCAACATCGCCGAGAATTAGACGTTCGTGACGAACGTGGTCGATCTGCTTCAGCTTGATGACCTCTGTTTTCCGCAAGATCTTCAGCGCGAAAACGGTATCGCGCTCCTCTTCAGTCGCATTTGCCGGGCGCACAAGACACACCCGAGCAAACGTTCCTGCACGGTTAAGGTCCATGGTTAGCAAACGGTGTTCCGAGACAAGGTAGGTGCAGCGAGACATGGGGGAAGGGGCGCAAACGAACCAGTTCCAAGCGTTCTTACAACGCGAAAGTCCTGAGGAGTCAACTTCCGGCTCGCAATAGGTCCAGCTCCAGCATCGGAATGTTGTTGCGCCTGAGCCTGAGCCTGAACCTGAGTGTGGCCATTACTGCTACTGCCTCCGCCCATCATCTTGGACAAGCCTCCGCCGACCTGGTTCGACAGGGGGTTCGCATGCGCAACGGTAGCCGCCATATTATGTATTTTTTTGTTGATGGCTGCTATTCCCGTCATATAGAGTAAGGGGTATTCGGTTCGGATCTGAAAAATTGTTTGGTATGGTTATTCGTTCAGCTTGACAGCACGTCGATCGTCACCATCACGGCCTGAAAAGGTGGTCGAGTCGAATAAGGCAGGTCAAGGTCGACCAGTCGTCGTGAGGTTGTTAGATGGGTGAAGAAGGAAGGAAATAGGTTGTATTTCGTTGCGCCCCGTGAGGTGAGTGGTCAATGGGAAGGAGTTGTGGTGGTGGAAAGGGGTTCGATTCGGATCGAGGCCTCGTCTGGTGCTGGGTCTGGGCCCAGGACTGGGGATGGATATGTGTGGTTCGGAGCTGTCGAACTGGAGCTGGCGGGAAGACACGCCGCACCGTTTCTTCCCCTGAGGCGACTGACCACTGCTGCTAGGAATGGATATCGAGGTCAAGTAGCCGCGAGTGGTTCGTTCGCGACGTCTGATATGGGCGAGGGTAGGATATCGTTCCTCTCCCGGTCGTGCTCTGTGTCTGTATTGGGGTCGGTAAGGTAAGGTATGTGGTGGGAGGAGAGCACGTCTTCCACTCTTTCTCGTTGGTGGTAACCTTTCAGGAAGAGGAAAACCTTCAGATGAAAGGGCCGTGGCAATGACGAAAGACAGGCAGAATAGACAGCTACATACGGTAGGAGCATTTATGGGGCGGACCAGGAAGGAGGGAGGAGGGAGGGGCAGAGCGCGACTACTCCGTACTTGCTGCTTCAGAGCCCTCTGGCTATTTGCTGCTTCAAATGGCAGGGACCGCTAGGTTGTGATTGCCGGGATGGGACGTGGAACACCACGTTATGGGCAGGCAAGAGGCGTGGGTTCTTGGCTTCTTTGCTACCCGACAACACGGGGGTACCCTCCCACGCCGCCCACTTTCGCTCCTTCCCACTTTGCGACCGCGATACCTCGTGATACCTTGACCGCCCTCTACCATGCCTTGCACACCAAAGCCCAATGTGAGGCAAGATGTATCCCGAGTACCTCCTTTTCTCACTCACCGCGTGGACAAGTACATCGTACTTACTGAGGTGCGCAGTAAGGTGGAAGGCCGTGTGGATGTGGACTTGCATTGTGTGGATGGGTCGGTCGCTCCTTCAACCTGCACTTGTAACCTCACCAACAGCAGCACTTTGACATGTTTGCCGCCTTTCTCAATTTCTTACAGCCTGTCCAATCCCAATCCACGACTGTCATTCGTAAGTACACTCACTACCTACCTTGGGCACGTTCGCAACGCTTAGCCACCCGGCCAGATACTGCAGCAGAACGCAGTAGGTAGAGTCGATGGAGAAACAAGTCTCGACTATGCAGCTTTGCAGCGGGTGCGGCGTGTAATCCAGCGGAACCACCGACATGGTCTTGCCTCTTTGGGAGTAGCCTCCTGTCCACCCGGTGGAAATCCGGGGACTCACTCTTCTGCCCATGTCTCGACTCGGCCCGCCTCGGCCACACTCGCACTCCTCTTCTTCTTCGTCTTCTTCTTCCAGTCTTTCTCGACGCCGACAGTCGATTCCTCGCGTGGCCCCCCTACCAACACCTCGCTACGACCATTCCATTCCGTCTGGAACATCCGCCTGGGACCGTCAGCTACGGAGGCTGTCCGTCATCCCCACATGGCACCGCTTCAGCTCTGGGCTCTGGCACTCAGCTCGCATCACAGCAGTATTACGGGTTAATAATACTCGACCCCTTTCTTCAAGACCCATTCGCCTCTTTCTGCAACATTCGTCAACAGCACCGACCAGCTATTTCGCTTTGTTCATCACACTGAAATCTGTCCCGCCAGTCTCACCCACCTACGGAGTACTCTTCTGCCGTCTCCCTCCCATCCCCAGAGGAAGAAAGCTCCGCCGCCCCCTGTTGACTGACCACCTGTACTTGGATTTGCTGATATCAGCCCAGATATCGGTTACACTCCTAAGCAGATGCTGATACGCTCTCAATCCGATGTCGTCCACGATCAGACACCCTGACTCCCACATCCGAATAAATCTCCGAAGCCCTGGGACGCCCTGGGACTGTGGGTTCTTTCATCCTCTATTTTTCCAGGGGCCTTTCGATACTTCGTCCTTGTTAGATATAGAGCTTTCCGAGGCAACAAAAAAACGTCCATGTCCACCGCTCTAATCCAGAGCCCGAACCACAGCGGACAGTCTCCTAGATTCGTATTGGCCTGCCTCACCTTTGCCATGTACCCTTCCGTCATTGATCGGTCTCCATTCTCCTGGTTCTTCCGTAGCGCCCACCTACGGCGTTCCGTCGGCCCAAAAACAAGCGGCGGCGATATCAAGCTCTGTCTCCCTCACCATACCACCGTGGCGTAGCAGATGTGGCTACCACAGCCAAAGAAAGGTGGCTCTGACGCGGCCTCCGGACGTTTGAGAGCCGATGAAAAGACGGTAAAGGCAAAAAAAAGGAGACCTAACACTAACTGACAGAGACAGTCTTAGGCTACGGCTGATGGAGGCGTCGCTATTGAATAAACAACCGTTGGCGTTGCTGCTCCCTCGAGGCTTTCATCGCATCCAAGACATCCAGTTTCGCACAGGGCCGCCTCATGGTCAGTCAGATCTCGCTCAGGCCATGCGGAATCCGGTCCCGCGGGGAGGGAAAGGGCCTGATCATTGATACACCTTGCATGCAAGCGACTCTTATCGGCGGCTATGACGCAACGTCTCGATCTCATCCCACCTCTCGCCCACACCTCAGCTCGCTCATTGACACTGACTTTTCCGAGCCAACACCAGTTACGATATGCTTTTCGGCTTCGCAATCCGAGCCGTTTCTACCACAGCCTGGCAAGTCGACCACGTGTTATGCGCAGTACGGGGAAGCATAGCCGCTCTGCCATACTCAGCACCACAATAATCTCTACTGGATCTTGATATCTCGTCATAGCCGAGCTTAAGAATTACACCATAAAATCAATCTCAGGAGAGTTTGTCCGACAACATGTCAAAATTGGCAATTCGACGGGCCACGAAACCTTGGTATGCCGGCAACCAGTCAATCAGAAACACATCACTGAGATCCTCACCGGCCTTTCGTCAGCGCCATGCGGCTTGGCCTGGGTCTTGCTTCCTTTACGTCCTTGACATGAGTCGCGCCCATGCCTGAGTGCGGCGAGGGCCCGACGGTTATGTCACTTCAGCCCCCAACGAACTGCTCTCTGCTCCTGTTAGTGAAAATTTCTTCCTGTTTTCCAGGTCGTCCGGCCGGCAGTGTCTGAAATAAGCACCAATTTCCAGCCCCGAGTACAGAGATGAGGATGTTCATTGTTGAGGTGGCTCGCGCCCCGTTCGCTTCCGAGGATCGCGGCGTTCGTCGCACGCCAGATCTCGATTGTCTACAGCAGTCTAGTGCGTTTCGAAAAGTCCTTTGACGTTCGGCGTAGGCGTAAGGCTGAAATGAGCTTCTCATCACGCTCGATTGGGGCCTTCGGTCTCAGAGTCCTGATCCGGCGATTTATCGGATCAACTAACGCTTTACATGTCGCCCAAACGAACCTCATGTCTGCTGAGAGGCCTCGCCTGTTTTGGACTCTGCTCCGTGCGTACTCCCGGTTTTCAAGGTCATTATTCGGAGCCCAAGTGGATATCAAGCACAACTTTGAAAGCTCTTTGCGAGTTCAGGTGCACTCTGCCACGCCGTGGTTGTCTTGGCAGAGTTCCGGCCGGGCCGCCGAATGCGAGTGCAACGCCATACTGAATTACCGATTCACCAGACAGATATGCATCGTCAAGAACATGTCACGAGTTACGAGATGCCAAGCCAAACCCCAAGTCTTGCCCGAGCCTCACAAGTAGGAGTTCAGCTCCAAGTAGTCTTGAACATAAGTCATTGTCACCCAGTCCGTGTTATTTCTCCAACAGATACAGTTCTCAAATTCTTGGAGGGGGGTTTCCGCGGAGACGCGCGGCTAAGAAAAGGTATCCGATCTAGCAAAACTCGAGAGCAGCATTCATGCCCCCGGAGCTGTTCCTTTACATCTTCTACCACCGGGAAGTGACCATGAAATGAACAACCCGGGCCGGAACCCGGGACCCCTCTCTATTCCTTTTTGTCCTTTTCCTGTCTCTCCTGTCCCTTTTCTGAAATCTAGACAAAAGAAACCCTCGTCTCGAGCTGCCTTTCAAACTATTCTCGGGATAACCCTTGTAAGCCCCATCTCAAGTCCCGGTCTTCGACCCGCGTCCCGGTGGTCTGGGAAACACACACCCCATCTCCAACGCCACGACGCCGCTGACGAAGACGAGCACCTTTCCATTTTGTCGGAAACACTTTGACTCGCGCCCCGTGTCAGCCGGATATGCCATGGCGTGGCCCGCTTACCTTCCTTGCTCCCCTACGAGATCTGAAGGATGCTGTCGATAGATGGTTCATGCTTGGCTAAAGAAGCTGACAGTTCGTCTTGGTCTGATTGGCTTATGGTCTTGTTGACATGAGATATTGGACCAAGTCAATTGTGGCTGAGCCACTAAGATCGGATAGCAGACAAACATCGTTCAAGGATACTCATATACGAGCACCGAAAAATCTTGATCGGATCTATAGTTCAGTTCGAGTTCATGATGCGTTCTAACTAATGCTCCGCTCTAAAAACCAAAAACCCGCTCGCGGTTCCTTCAACCCCGCCCATCGCTGGGAGCCATCCCCGAATCCTTCGCGTTGAACGTGTACGTACATGAAGGTCCAAACGACAAACAAGGCCAGGGTATATCTTCAAGTCCCACTACGTCGCCTCCCTCTATGCTGCATTGGTGGCTCAAGCCTTCGGCTCAGCTCAGCTCAGCTCAGCCACCAGATACCTGCGCCCACAGCCAACAGTGTGGCTAGTATCATCGCCCCCTGCTTAGTAGACCACAGGAACATGCTCCAGCCAACAAGGACTTCCTTCCGTCTTGCTGCCGCACGTCGTTCCCAGGCCTCCGGATCGATGGCTACCGGGAGAACGAGGCGGGGATCCACGGCATTGGACGTGGGGGCTTCCGTCGATGAGCGGGCCAGCTCCTTCTCGGTGAGGAGGGGAACGGCAGCTCTCAGAAAAACCGCCCTGTGATCTGAGCTGCGGACTACGGGCATGGCGTCGTAGATCTTGACGTCGACCTTTTGAGGCTTGGTCTTGACCCACGAAGGGACGTCCAGGTATAAGATGCGATCCGTCCAACCAGGGTATCGGTGAGGCGCAAACACCCAAGGCACATCCTCCACACCATCGACCTTCAGGCGGGTGTCATCTTGGGGCAGGACGTTGTATTTGTAGGTCGGAGGGAACTTGACTTCTGCCTCGCTCATGCCGTGCAACGTGCGTCCTGCCTGTCGTTCTCTCGTGAGCTGGTCCAAGGCGAAGAAGCGGGAGTAATGATGTTCGCTGTCGGGGTCGAGGCTGGGAAATGTCGCCATTGGCGGCGGGCTCGTTGTTGAGATGCGATAGTTGAGGTCGCCACCGACAAAAAGATGGGAGCTTGGCTTGAAGACGGATATCTCCTGTAGCCGTTCCTGAAGTGCGAGCGTTTGTGCTTGATGCTCGTCGTGCAACAAGTGCACTGCTTCATCTCTGGCACCCTCAGCCTGGCCCTCTCCATGTGTAGGAGTGGTTGGCTTATTCTTCTTCGGGTGCAGAATATCTTCCGGGTTCTCGAATGTCAGGCCACGCATGATGGTCGCCCAGTTGGCATTTCGCCTCGGTAGATTCCACTCCATTGCTGCTAGGTGGGTAGCTACGAAGGTGAGCTCCGTCTCCTTTTTCCCGCCTTCGGTCGTCGTGCCCTCATACAAGACTCTGAGCGCCACAGCGCCCTTGTTGCCCATTTCTGCAGCGCCAAAGCCCACCTCCGCCTCTTGCACACGCAGGATCGACTCGGGGTTCCGCGCAAAGAGCATAATGGCCGTCATACCGATATGACGAGTCCGGATCAGGGTGTAAGGTCGCACAGGTGTAGGAGCGGTGGGCTTGACCAGTATCGTCTCATCGTCGGCTCCATCATGACTGTCGGCGTCCGAGGTGGGACTTTCGTTGGTGTATCTGGTCGCAGCGAGGTTCAGGGCTTCCTCGAAGCGCGTGAGGTACGGGCTGAGAAAGTAGCCGCCGATGAAAGAGTACGATAACGGCGCGAATTCTTGTAAGGAGCTGGTAGGAGGTAATCTGGTCAGCTTTGTTGCACCCAAGGGAGCGGCAAAACACTGCACTCACAAGACAACAACCTCTGGGAGGGGAGTCGCGCTCTGCTTGAAAGCTGTGTGGAGGTTTGACGCAAAGACGTGAGTGTCGATAAAGTTCTTGGCGCAATTGAACGTTAACATGAACAGGTCGAGCGTCGAGGGAGCCATCTTGTCGGCGGGTGCGGTGGAGTTGACGTCGACAAGGGTCGCCATCGAAGCTCTGTCGGAGGTAATAGCCGCCGATGACGATTATCGAGTTGGTGTACTGGGATTACTCGGCTAGAGGTGGCCTGCCTTGTTAGTCAGCTCTCTACCCCTCCTCTTTCCAAGAGCACAATAGGTATGACGAGCTGGGAAGTTCACGAGACAAAGTGATAAAACTGAGTGAATGTTGGGAGAGTATGAAGAAGAAGTCGGGTAGTAGATATAGGAGGAGACCATAGAGTTGGCAAGAGCGCACACGACTTTAGACCACTTGACATTGTCCCTTGTCCGTCCTCATCAAGATGGTTTGGCAGGATCGCCTGAGAAGTGTTGGTTAGGTGGGTTGCAAGTGCGGTCAACACTCACTCAGCCACGCGCTAGCTGCCCGGTAGGCTGTAGCTGCCCAGTACCTAGGCTGTAGCTGCCCAGTACCTAGGCTGTAGCTGCCCAGTAGCTTTCAAATGGCATTGATCAGAACGAGACAAGCTCACGCCAACTGCCCCGCTCCCAAGCTTGATTCTTGTCAGAAACTCACAGAGAGAGAGAGAGAGAGACTGCCAAATGCGACTTCATGTGCAAGCTCCAAGATGATGATTATGAAGTTAAGGGGAGGGAATGAGGGATCCTTCAGGTTGGGGAACATCCCTGACACCCCTCGACATCCCAACACTCGTCATGTACTACACCTAAGAGAGTCAGTCCAGTTCAGCTTTGCGGATGGCAAATGTTGGTGTAGGATGGGAAACTTTCATCGTGATGCACGACATTACTGAGTACGATAAGAATATGCCGCGATGATTCGAACATACCTATATATATGCGGATATACTTTGCACCTGACGACATCCATTTGGTACTGCTTCTCTCGTTTCATGCAGTCAGCTGGTCGACGTGCCCTGCGAAATGGAACCGAGCGAAGCCGCACCTGACCCGTTGAGCCAACCAGTCTCATGACTTGATATCTTTCTCACATCCAAGTCTACAAGTTTTCCGCAGTCACATCATGCAGATGAGTATGCCTCTTTACGCATCACAGTCAAGATCGGATCCCGAGAGAATACTAGTGCTGTGGCTGTTGTAGTGGACCTGCAGCATTTACACCGCTATATTCACAAATTGCAAGAGAAGAAAAGTCGCGCGACAATGTTAAATTGAGAAACTACCATGCGTATGTTGGTTGGTTCCGCTGCCCTTCGACATGCCCACAACTACCCGTGCTCTGCCTCCACCATATGCAAACTTGCCAGGCCGGTGAAAGCCCGCGGATGATGGAGGCGCAGTGTTGAGAGTCCAAGCACCAGCGTTCTGAGGTCGACAATCCGCATTGACTGCCAAGGCAGACAAGTAGACGTTGTCGACATCCCAGAACTTTGCTAGACCGTCTCCTAGAGCCCATAATAGTTGCCAGAGACCAGGTTTGGCGACTAGTCACCTAGTTCCCAGTTTCCCCCACGTGCAATGTCGGAGTAACGAATTCCCAACCAACCGAACCGAACCAAAAGCCAAAGAAAAGATGCCGCACTCTTCCTCATTAATTTTGCAATCGTCATTCCCTTGCCGTTCCTTGTCTTTGCCGACTTGATGATCGTAGTCCTTGTCAGACAGTGTCGGCAGGCCTGATACTTCGCAAAAGTTTCTCTCTCGTGATCGACCCCTCACCTAACGACCTCCCCAGAAGCGGGCCTCGACGCGTGATTGACCAAGTGCGAAGCCTCGAATGAAAATCAACTCGTAATGCGCATAATCGGAAGGAAAAGTAAGAGAAAAAGAACAGAAGGAAAAAAGGAAAAGTCCGTCGGTGAACGCAGCTCCAACGCATCGACCAGGTGCAAGGTGCTAAACCGAGGCACTCAAGTTGGGGGTGGGGGAATGTCTCGCGGGGCGGCCCGACGACGGTGCCTCGCAAAGTTGAGGTACCGGAAGTGCCGTTCGAGTTCTTCCTACCATGGATATCGAACCATAGAGCTTCGGCAGCAAGGTCTACCGGGGCGTCTGTGAAATCGAGTGTCCTGTTATGAAGAATCGAGTCATTCGTGAAATCAACCCAAATATGTCGAAGAACGAAGTTGAGAATGCGTAAGGAGAATGCGACCAGTTCGCGTGGCAAGGCGTATCATCAAAGAGACCCTGCTGGTGAGCAGAACCCGTACCAATCGTGATGTCTGAGAGCCATGCCACGGAAGGGATGAAGCCGGTAAGCCGGTCTGGTCATACTCCAACGTGTTGGACAGAAAGCATGTGGTTACCGCCGTCGAGGATCACTTCGGCAGAAAGGAACTTGAACCATATGCTGGACTTGCGCCCTTCGTAGACGAGCGCAAACTAGATCATCGTCCACTAGGTCAGCATGCGTTTGTCAGCAACGGGTTCAACAGCCAGTGGTCGATGAGCTGCTTGGGCGATCAACTTACATCCTGTCACTTCCACCGACGGCACGGTTGGTATCTGGGGTGTTTACACCAGCACCAGATCCTCGTTCAATCACTTTGCGGCGCGAGCTGGGAAGGGCGTTAGGCTTATTAGCGCCAGGCTGAGGGGTCGGCTGACCAGCAGTAGCGGCGTTCGTGCGAGATGCCCGCGCCTTTTCATCCTCCTCCTGAGTGGCTCCTGCAGCCTGAGCAATTGCCTGAGCATTCTTCTGGTACTTGTAGACAGTCCAGTCGAAGACGTAGTCGTACTGGAAGCCCTCGCGGACGAAGAGATCACGGAAGATCTTGCGGAGGTAGCTGTAATCGGGCTTGTCGTCGAATCGGAGGGATCGAGTGTAGTTGAGGTAGATGGCGAATTCGTTGGGGAAGCCGCGGCAAAGGACCTCGGTCGGGGTGGTCATCTTCTTCTCCATGATGCGGTCGTATTTCTGCTTCTTGGTAGCAGCCTTAAGTCCCTGCCAGGGAAGGGATCCACGGCAGAAGTAGAGCATGACGTAGCCCAGGGACTCCATGTCGTCACGGCGAGATTGCTCTGCGAAGCTGTCAGTGGCCAGGAGGAAACGGAAAGGGGTTTGGGTGCGTGGAAAGATAACATACCGACACCCAAGTGGGTGTTGATGGAAGCATAACGGGCGGTTCCGGTAAGGTTCTTGTTCTCTCTGTAAGGGATGTGGAAGTGCGTCTTGGGGTCACGGTACTTCTTGGCCAAACCAAAGTCGATAACGTTGACCTGGTTGCCACGCTTACCAATACCCATGAGGAAGTTGTCGGGCTTGATATCACGGTGAATGAAAGACTTGGCGTGGATGTACTCAATGCGAGAAATCAGCTGATCAGCGAGAAGCAGCACGGTCTTGAGGGAGAATTTGCGGTTGCAGAAGTTGAAGAGATCCTCCAAACTGGGTCCGAGGAGGTCAAGGACCATGGCGTTGTAGTCGCACTCGGTACCGAACCAACGGACAAAGGGAATACCGACACCGCCGGCCAGGGACTTGTAGACTCTGGCCTCATACTCAAGCTGGGGGTGCTTGGCCTTGACGCTCTCGAGCTTGATGGCAATCTCCTCGCCGGAGATGATGTTGGTGCCGAGGTAAATATCACCGAAAGAACCAGAACCGATCTTGCGACCGATGCGGTACTTGTTACCGACACGAAGATCCTGCCAATTGTCGTTAGCCATGTGCAATGACAGTTGGAAGCAAGCGGCTCCATCGACAGATTGGGCCCTTTCAACAAGAGCATATATAGCTCCTGGCAAGACTGTGCCCAATGTCGAACAGAACCGACCGTCGACTATCCACTTACCATTGTGGTCATCTTGACTGATGTGCTGACTCTGCACCTTTCGGATGCAGATTTTGGTTGGTAGGTCGGGTGTCGATCGACGGGTCAGAGTTTTAATCGACAACGAAGCGATGGGCTGGGTAGAACCGAAGAATTAGTATTGATGCATGAGACAAGAGAAGGCTTCGAACTGTGCCGTTGGAACGATGGAAGTATGTGAGGACGTTGTGAGAACAGGAATAAGCGGGAAAGTTGAAGAGTGGGTAGAGTTGGTCGAGGCCTTGGAAGAGAGGATTGAATGAGGCAAAGCTCGGATCCACCGCCAAAACCCACGGTCAGCCCGAGGCTAGGCTGGGCAAAACGCAGGAAGAGTGAACCCCAGACAGAGGCAGAGGGAGAGGGGTGTAGTCCGACAAGGCAACGATTGTCGACGGATTGAGGATCAAGGTAGTCGAAAATTGAGGGAATATAGCGAAAGAGGAAGAATAGGCTCACCTGTAGAGGGTTTGTACGTATGTGTTGTCGGGAGAGGTGGAAGGAGTCGTGTGTGTGTGAGAGAGATGGTTTGATGGTACCTGTGTGACGAAAGAGGTGAACGGGGTCAGTATGGGCTCTTGAAAGTCAAGATGAGTAGAGGGGGGCGGATGGATTGATGGGGGTCGGGAGGGGGTAATTTGTAATTGATGCTGATGCTGATGGGAATGGAAAATGTATGCGTACCTTATCCTCAAATGCCAACGAAAGCCGTGTCCAAAGTGAAGGGGACAGAGACGATGTGCTGTTCGGGCAAGAAGCCTTTGGCAATCAAGGGCTCGTGAAAGAGATCGTGGGGTGAAGAAAGGAAGAGTAAGGCAGGAAGGAGGAGGGTGAGAGAGGATGGGAAGAGGGTACCTTAATGGGATGGGAGCCCAAAAGTGGAGGCGACAAGGCAAAATGGAGAAAAGCACCACCTTCCTTCCCTCAGGCGCTCTTACCTATCTTACGGAATACTTTAGGTACTTCTCATCTTCTCAAGGACTGGGCGACACGCGAGGGGGGAAGGAGGGCTGGCGGCGGGCGGCGGACCACCTCACTGGGGCGGACAGGCGCTGGGTGCTAAATGGGACACGGAGACTGGACGGGGGAAATAGAACCAAGGAAGAAGGCACGAAGGAGACGAGGTATCCGTGGTACCTACCTTACTCCGTGGGCCGCAGTTGCGCAGGTAGGTGCCTTCCAAAGGTACCTTACCTACCTACCTTACTTACGGTAGGTACCTATGTTGGGTACCTTAGATGCTCAGCCTGAGAATCTAGGTAAGTACCCCCATTGTCGAAAATCCGGTGGCAGGTACATACCCTTGCACGCCAATTCTGCCGAGAGCCGCACGTACCCTCTCCGTGCTCGTTCCCTCCAGCCCAAGGTCCGAATACCTGCCTTCTACCTGCGTTCGGGTGGCCTTCCATCCCCTCTCCCACACGGCATTACATAAGGCATCTTCCATTAATTATGCTGGACGATACGGGCAGCAACCCGACACAGCAAGCCTTCTTTTTCGGTGCCAACTTGCTGGTTCGTAGTTACCCGTCCGGCCGTCCACCCGTCCTCAACCTGGCAAGTCTCTACCGGTATTCTGACCATACTACGGAGTACCCTGTCATCATCAAGAACGTCAGCTCCAACTTGGACTATCCGTGTTGTCTATTGAACCATTCATCAAATTCAACAATCGAGCTGTCCACCTGGCTTGACACCGCCTCATGAAGCATCTCTTTGCCTCAAGATTCGTATGCCGGCTCCAGTAACCAAACTGGTCTGTGGCCTCAGCCCGCCAGCGGCCAGCATCCTGAGCTCCCGTACTTCCGCGCTTGTCGCAGATGCCATGCCCTGGTCGCTTCAGCTCACATCACCTCACCTCTCACGTCACCCCAGATAAAGAAATACCGGCACAGAAAGCGAGCCAAGTACGACATCACAAAGGCACAGCTTTACCCAAATCCTCTTTACCAAGGCATACCGGCATACCGACACCAAGCTACATAGACCAAACACAGCCGCCGCGGCTCAACCACTACAATTGCGACACTCGTCACGTCCTAACCGGTCAACCGAGCCCCAAGTACCGTACGCATAGGCTGATCTGTGGTCTGGCCAAGCACCAGCTCATCCTCATCTTGAGCCCATCTTGAAATTGGAACACCGCATTGGCCATGCAATTCAATGCAATGAACCTCTCTCCGCCGGGGTCGCTGGACAACGACGGGGAAATACCTGGTCGAGACATGTAGGCCCCTCGCCAGCCTGACATGGAGTCCCACGGTCCACCCGCCCAACGTTCCACCGCTCCAAAGGGGGAAATTTCGAAGCCTGAAAACCGCTACCGCCGCCCCCAACCCTTCTCTCCAACACCCAAGAACCCTGTCTAGAATCACTACTTTCGGAAGACGAGCTTGCAAGCTTGCAGCAGTCTATGTACTGACCCTACTCTGTACTTCCGAACTTCGTACGGAACGAACGCGAATTGAACACGCCCAAATTCTCAATGGGGCCCTCTCAATGACACGGAATGATGCGAGAGGGGCGACACCATGACGGCGGCAAGGACCCTGAACCGACCACTCAACCCACCGTATAGATACTCTGTGAATTTTTCTTGAAAGAAAACCTGCCGATCTCCGACCTCAACGCTCTTTGCTATGGAGAGTCTGCCGCGGAACAGCTTTCAGAGTTGTAGGACATGTCTAGCACTGGTTCTTCTTCAGCATTCCCAAGTTAGGCAGGGCTTTCGTCATCGCAACAATCCCCAGATGCACCATGTAACCAGGCGTCTTCCTTCGAGATAACATACCAAACTGCAATCAGCACCGACGCAAAATATCACCTGCAGCCAACCAAGACCCATCTGTCGCCGGGCTACGGCTACGGATACACGCAGGGCGCGAACCACCACATCTTCAGGATCCTTGCCGGAACCTCCCCCCTGAAGCGATGCTTTCAGCTTCCCACGACGGACCGCAACGAGCTAAGGTACGGAGTAGAGACATCGGGCGTGCGCCCTTGCAAGTGAACCTTGTCAGATTTCTTCTCGACTGGGTCGACTCGTCTTGCCATTTGCGTGTCAGCATCAATCTGGATTTCACCAATCTGCAACTCAAAGGCCTTTGTCATGCCAATTTCAACGGTAGCCGGCATATAAGTCCTGGACCAATATCAAACCCTCCTAATTCTACATTGCCGCATTTACCAGTAACCGCTACTAATCCCTCAGGTGACACTGCTCCCGCCAGAGTAGGATGCGCTAATCACCAACCGGCGAGAGCCTCACCGCTCTTAGTCCTCTCCCCCGCAACGAGACCACGACGCTCGAGCCCACCAGGAAAAATAACTCCAGACTGTCGGTCAGGAGACCAGTCATAAATCGGACGGTCGAGGGCACCAATGCTGCAAGATCGAGATGCCTATTTTCAGTATCCTACAGGGGCTAACCCCTCCAGCCTCAATTCGATATCATAATGCATAGGTGAAAATGGCCATACCTCAGAAGCAAGCAAGTACCTTTGGATGGCAAAATCATCGGGCTCGGAGGCATAGGTACGAGAGTCAGCATAGTACCACCTCCTTCGTCATGCAACAACAGCCTCTCGGGTGTCGCTGCTGACATCCGAGATATCAAGTTCCGATACCCAAAGGCCCCCTTGGCCATCTCCCCTTAAAACAGCAAAGGATCTCCCGCAAGAGGCAGTTACAAGGGAAGCTCTCCTCGGTCCCTCCACCCCCTCGCCTACGATGCACAAAAGAGAATGAATGACCTGCAATGCAACCGCCCATCGTATCGTGAGCAGCATCTCATCTCTGGCGATGCCGCCTTTGAGATGCGCCGTGCGCTAGAGGAGCGTTCTGTGGCGTTAGATGGGGCCAAACGCCATGGAAGCTATTCGACGTCGCCCACGTCACTCTTGTTCCAGGTCTTTCGGTCTGCCCCGAACAAGGAGCAAGTCAAACTTGAAAAACCTTGATTGCAGAGCAAATTGGGCAAACAAAATAGCATTTCAGGACCTGATCAAGATTTTCTTTTTGAGGGCCCAGTGTGGCAGCCAAAACCTGGATTTTACCCTCAGCGTGGCCGAAGCTCGCGACTCAGACGTCCGAACCGTCCGCTATTCAGCCAACTGTGTCCGAGTTGGGCACCAATTCTTGGACAGCGATCCCCAGTTCTAGTTCGCTCTCTCTCTCCGAGCAATTGGGCTGTATCCCCGACCCTACACTCCCTGCCTCCCGACGGTACTGCCTCGCGAGTGCTTGCCAATTGTCGGAAACTACGCATGGAGTACACAGTTCGGGATGACTTATCCCATGATGGATGCTCACAGAGATGCCATGGCCATTCGGCAACGTTTAGAGCCGCCCTCTGCCAGCATGATTCTTTGATGGCCACTTGTCATTCACCACCACTTGTAACTGAGCCACGGTCTTGGGGTCGTAACAACACCAGCGCGTTGTTGGTCTTAAATGGGTGCAATGCTGCAATTGGCATTAACAAAATTAGGAGGCCGCGGAAAGGCAATTAAATGCCTCTTCCGAGTCTCCATATCTTATCGGCTGTCAGTTGTGAGTAAGCGTGCCTCAAACCCCGGAAGGCAGCTCCAGTGACTTGCATATCGACGTCCTAGATTAGAGACGTTCGAGAAGCGGCAAATGGTGGATAGAATTCTGGAAGCTCACCGCCGTTAGCGGCGCTATGGTGCGCCCTGGCTACATTTCGATACATTGGGCCGCACGTACGTCTCGAAACAGGAGACGGTCCATCACGCCGTCTCCGTAGTGTCAGCTCAGGAATGTCACTCGTTCCTCCACAAGCCAACGGGCGTTCCCTTCGCTTTGTCCTTTGGCTAGTTGGGACGACGGAGATGCCCAGGCTTACGAAATCTAGACTGGTCCCGGCCGAAAGACCAATGTTTTACGTCTTCAGAGAAGCTGTCATTCGGATTCCAACGTCAGCAGAGCTTCTAATTCCGGGGTTCGACGCCAGCCAAACGACAAAACAACTGGATTCTGCAAGAACAGAGCCTCCTAGTGTTTGGCATGTCAGTTCTGTTGTTCAGCATGGGTTTGAGGCATGGATCGGCACCCGTTACCAGTCAACCGCCATTCAGAATCATAAAGGTCTGATCAAAACGGTTTGAATATGAGTTGTCGAGGCTAAGAGGCTGTTGCGTATTTGCATATTACTTGACCAACCATGAGCATACTGTTGCCGGTGCTTCCAAGACCCCCGCAGAGCCAAGCAATCGAGAGCTTACTGCGGAAGAACGCCCTTCAAGAATGAAGGCCGATGAGCTTCTGGCCAGTGCCGATCACTTTCGGGTTTCCCGCATCGGCCAATCCACCTGCAGCTTGGACGACATCAATGGGCCCTCCATCACATCACCGCCATTCGATCGTCTGGTCTGCCCGCCCTTGGTTCGAATGGCTTTGAGAGGCGCTTGGCGCTGTCCTCACCGAGCATCTGTGAGTTGCCTGATCTTGCCTGCTTCCACCCATTCGACTTGAACCCTATGGTCACAAGATCTCGGCGGCTGCATGTCACGGAGCTTGGTGACAGGATGGCTCCTGTCTAACATGGTACGGCAGGCTAAATCGGAAGATTGATTCGCGAAAATGGGGTAAAGAAAAACTGCCAATACAAGCCATCACTGAAACGCATGGGTACTGAGGCGGTTGACGCGCGAAGCACTCACGGCGGCACTCTGAACAAAGACAAGCGCTGAAGCAGCCCCCTGAAGCTGCCTTTGGAATTCCGGTGTCTACCATAGTGTGGTCCAGCCACATCCCATGTCCGATGAATGGGCCTCGAAACGCCGTCAGACCATTTCCCCCCAAGCTCCGGGCCGCAACACAAAGCCATGAACGCCTCTGCACACACTTCCGGATCACCGGGAAGATGGGGACAGCGTGAGCACGGCCGGGGGTCCTGGCCCGGTCTGAGCCGGCCAAGTGTGCCTTTGCAACGCCGAGGTTGCCTTTTGCTATCGCCGGCACCCCGGCTTTGCTCAACAGCCGGATACTCACTGTCGGCTCAGCGATAACCTCGGGGCGCTGGTTTCGTTCCTTGACGCAGACATTATCCCCATCTCCGCACAGGTGACATTTGTCAGATGACTTTCTGGGCGTAGGGAAGGGAGAAAAATGAAGTTATTCATTTGCCAGATCATCTGCCGGAGACTCCTAAGATACTGACTCGGGTCGAGCCCACCTTACACGGATCATATCCGCACCCTCGGAACTTGAGATGAACTTTGCGGCATGCGGTGCACAGGAAGGAAAAGAGAGTTTTCATTTTGCCCTCATTTCCGTCGGGCAACGACTTGATGAGGGATTATAGCCTTGGCATAAGGTGCTCGGCGTTCACCTTATAGAGAGGGAGAGCTATACCCACCCCGATTCCAACGTCGAACTTGAGTCTTTTTTTTCTAAGGCCGCTTCCTTGACTTCCGTAGGACCTCGGCCTCTGCCTGGGATGGCCCTACCTTCCCCATGGACCCTGCGTCTTGGGTGCCGCGTGAACTCGGCGCGACTTACAAGCAAGGCACGAAAGTTTAAGATGCTATCGCTGATAAGAAGGGGTTATGTCATTCCGCAATGATCTTGTGTTTGTTGTCGATGACATCATGTCAGGGTCTTGAGCATCAATCCTCCTGATGGGCCTCCCGATTCCTGTTCGTCTGCGCTGGTCTATTACATGAATGTATCACCAAAGATGGTATTCTGATGGTTATAGATATTATAGTTTCTATATCCAGTTCGGTTTCCCCCTAGGCAAATGGGGATAGCCATCGCCTCCGTCGCACTGAATGGATCCCAGCAGATGCAAAGGGTTGGTTCAGTGATACATCAGATTTGCATTTCCTCGGCCGCCCACCGCCAGGCCAAAACCCAAAACGATATTCGCTTTGGACGCAACCTGTCGCGTCAGATCCTGAGTCGCGTGCGTGGCTTCCACTGAACATCCCATCCTGGTGAGTTCGACGTCACTTCACGCAAGCGCGCGTCTCGCTCGGTCCAACGGCCCCGCGCCACCGGGGTAGAGTTTGTGTGTCTTAACACTAAGAAGCACCCGGCGGCTACAACTTCATCGTCACCTCATGTCTATGAACAACTTGTCTTCAGTGAAGCGTCGCTTATTCTCCCGTCGAATCAACAGAAATGTCTACGAGATGTGTTGCATCATCGACACATTGTGTTGACTGTGTTGTTTTCCATCATGGTGGTTCGGGGTGAACATGGTTGTTCTAGCAGCTTGGTGGCAGTGAATGCCGCATATCCCATGTTCGCATGTGTTCACATATGTTCACACGGAGTCCGCACGTTGGGCAGCTCATCGCCCTACCCAGCTATATTCTTCTCACAAGACCCCTCAGAACTTTCAAGATGGACGAGTGACCCCTTGGCTCTGTTGCGATGATTGGGAATGCGCGTACGTTGCTACATACTTGTTAGTCTCGTAGCCAACAAAGAAACACCCCAGGCAGGTTACACACGCTGAGAGGGAGCATAGCTCTGCTGCTGTGTGTAGTACTGCTGCTGCTGCTGCGCCGGGTATCCCGTTGCCGTCTGCGGTCGGTTCGGATACTGATTATTCTGATTTTGGTTCTGGTAGTTCTGGTTCTGATTGTGAAGGTTCTGATTTTGATTCTGAGGGTTCTGGTTCTGATACCAGTTGTAGGGCGGCCGGTAGTATTTATTGTCCTGAAGGTAGGGCGTGATGGTCTGGTCTACGAGCTCGGTCGTCTTGGTGAGAAGCTTCCGTGCCGTGGCACTGCTGAAGAGGCGCGATTCGGATTTCGGCGGCGGGGCCTGGTAGTTTGGCCGGGTCGGGGGAGGAGGTCCAGCATAGGGCGTGAGGGCGCCAAAGCCCGACTGCGGTGTACCCGGCATGGGCGGGGAGTTGCGAGGCGGGAGTGGCGGCGGTGTCTGCGTCGGTTGCGGTTGGAACTGTTGGCTACCGTTGACGTAGGTCGGCTGGGGGATAGGGGGCGGCATGTTGTAGCCCGTGAACTGCTGTTGGAGGGGAGCAGATTGGGGGCCAACACTGTTTGGAGACCAAGGATACTGCGTCGGCGGTGGGCTCAGGGGTAGTGGTACACCGGTTGGGTTCGGTGATAGGCCTTGGGGAGGTGGCGGTGGAGGGAGCCATTGTGTCTGTGTGGGCGATGGTGAAGTGTTCGACAGGTTCATTTGAGACATTGCTTGGGTATATGAAGGTGGAGGAGAGGCGTAGGGTTGGGCCGGTGAGTGCTGAGAAGCCTGGGGGATTCCCTGTGATGTTGATGGTCTCGGTGCCGAGGCTACTGGGCTATGGACCGAAAGATTGGGTGAGGTGGCTTCTTGCTTGGCGTATGAGGGCTGCTGAGGGAAGTAGGAGCTCACGGGGAGAGTTGGCGGTAGAGCAGCCTGAACGAAGACGGGAGACACGGGGGCGGCTTGAGTGTGAGTTGGTTGAGGATGGGGTTGAGACTGCTGCGGCTGTTGCGGTGGTACTGAGGCGCCCGTTGGGGTTGGTGAGAGGCGCGAGGGCGCGAAGGAAGGGGATACCGGTGGCGGGGAGCCAGCGGGACGAATGCCAAAGGGAAGCGTCGGCGGGGCCCCGGTTTGTGTTCCTGGCTGGTGCTGAGGGTGCGAGTCCGGCGTGGGAATAGACGGACCTTCGGCGGGATACGGAAGCTGCGGTACACTGGCGGCCGGAGCGGCGGGGTTGGCCGGGCTTGGGGTCCGGGAGGGACGACGTTCTGGAGCCGGGGGCGGCGGCCGCGCGAGCTTGAGTGGTGCCGGTTTGAGCTGGGCCGTATCAGGGCTATCCTGCCTTGCCGGCCCTGCTGCCGCAATCTGTAAGGGCTTGGGCGTCACATCATCTACGGTACTATTCGAGGGTCGGCTCCCTTGACCACTAGACTCCTCGGTAGAACCGCTCTTGACGATGCGTAACGGCTTCACCGATAGCTTCTGTTCCTCTGGTGGGACCGATGAGACGTCATCTTTGCTCGGTGAGGGGGAGTCACTGTTGCGAGAGGGGAGGTCATCCTCAAGAAAGAACCCCCATGGGTTTGCCTGGATGAGAGGTGGCTGTGGCGGCGGCGGCTGGGCCTTCTCTTCGTCCTTTGATTGATCCGGGTCGTCTTGTTTAAGTATAGCTGTGGCCGTGGTAGGGGATGCTGGAGGCGGCGATGTTGATGGTGATGGTGCGGTAACGGAGGAGGCAGAGGCTATCCTATGAGGTTTCCTATGGATCTGGTTTGTAGGCTTGACCGTGACTATGTCGTCGGCGGGCATCTCGTAGGCAACGGGGCCATGTTGAGCTGTTCCGGCACTCGGCACCGGTGCGGATGTGGTAGCGTTGAGCAATGACGTCGATGGTGAGGTCGGTCTCGGGACAGAGGCTGGGACTTCTAGCTCGGCGAGGAATTGCTGCTGGGCGGGGTACCGCTGCTGATGTTGCTGCTGAGGGGTCTGCTTGCGCTGAGGCGGGTTTGGAGAAGTCGGCCTGGAGGCGTATTGAGGCTGTCTGGGAGGGTTGTAGTATTGCTGTTGCTGCGGCGGTTGGTACGGTTGGAATTGTTGTTGATATTGAGTTTGTGGTTGTTGGGCGTAGTATCGCTGCTGCGGCGGGTAAGGTGAGTGCGCCCGCTGTTGCTCTTGCTGTTGTTGCTGATTCGGGGGAGGTCGTTTCCCTTGGCCGGTGCCCATTGTCGCGTCTGGACTTGGCCGGCGCTGCTGCTTCTGCAATCTCATCAAGACAAAGGTTTCGATGATGCTGTTGCTTCCCCCTCCTGAGTTTCCCTCCTGCCACTGGTTCTCCTTTTCCCTTGCTTTCTTTCCCGGAGATGCTCGAGTGCTGGATTTGAAGGATCGAGAAAGTAAGTGGAAGAAAGTGAGGAAAGGAAGAACGAAGGATGGTTGGGAAGAAAGAGCCAAGGTTTATTTTTTAGCCTTACAGATTCACCTTGGACACACACTCACACAGCCGCAGCGCCCTGTACTCTTCTCGGCTTAGCTCCTGATGATGCTGGTGCTTGGGTGCTTGGGGTTTAAGCTGTGCAGCTGCACTGTCACTGCTCTCGTGTGTGTGTGTGTGTGTGTGTGTGCAGCCTGGAGATCCTTCTTTGCGCCCCTCCAACCCCTTGGACCACTTCCCAAAACCCCGGTTCAATCGTACCCGTCACGAGCAATGTTAATTTATTGCTGCATCTTTTTCGGGTTCGGACATCAGCCACGGCCGGCCCACCGTTGACTATCCGGTGGGGGAGGAAACTTCGCTATCGCTTAGCTTACTCAAGGGTTTTCGTTCGTCTAGGTACATTACGCAGTATGGAAGATGGAGTATGTCAATTTCAACGGGTTCCCGATGGGCCGATGGAGTTTCAACAAAGAGACGTCAGGGATTTTACACGTAAATGGCAAATGAATATCAGAAAGAAAAAGTCCCCTAGCGCTGCCGTGTGAACCTAGAGCTGTAGCCTAGAACCAACACAGCATCCCCCGGTTGATCCTACTCTGGAGTCTTGGTCCTCTTGGACTCTCCGCCCCTGGTCTCATTATTATTGCCGTTGGAGCATGGATCTCTTATTCTGCTGCCTGTCCGACTGTCACTGTTCTGTACTCCGTAATGAACCCTTGCCCAGCCGCCAAGCTGATAATTGCAAAGAAGGATACGAATGCAGAAAGGGGATATTGAACAATGAAACCCCCAGCTGAACAGTGATCTCAGCATGGAGTGGAAGCCTGGGGGAGATGGGGCACAGAAAGCAAGGCAGGGCTTCTGACCTGCAGGGACGATCTTTCGTATCCAGATTGTGATTGGTGATTTGTTTTCGCGGCTGTCGTCGAGGGGGGCTGAGCTGAATATCATATATTGATGGTTATGTTTTGCTGTGCAAATGATGATGACTGATGGTGAATGATCGAGGGGGGCTTATGACGGCTTAAGCTTTTGCTAAGGCTGTGCCGGACCCTTGGGTTTTGCCTGCGGGTTGTGCCGCGTTTCCGTTCACATATGTCAATGCATGTCACCATCCACGCTTGGATAATGGCGGTTGGCGAAGTCGTCGTCTGCTCGTGTTCATGTGCTGGCGCTCCATAACACAAAGTAACCCATCTAGCAGACATCCCAAGTGGATCCATACAAGCCAGAGAAGAGGGCGAGGCATGCAAAATAGAGTACCGAGTATAAAAACATTCAATCCTCCCAACTCAGTTCTACGTTGACAGCAATGTAACTGTTGGTTGCCAACGGTGAGCTAACGGGTGGGGAGCTGCTTGTATTCAATCCGGTTGCGCCGAATCTCTGAGGGAACGGTAAGGATCCGAACGGTGAGGATCCGATGGTTATCACTAGACGCGAGCTCGGAAGCTGCACTCTGCGTCCAGGAAGCCCATGATTGACCATGTCCCCAATCTCTCTTCATCATCACCAGTGTATTCAGAACCTCTTGATAGGAATAAGTAAGAAGTGCTGGCGGGAGGGCAGCGCTAATTGTTACGTAGGCAGGCTACTTTGACCAATCTTCTCAGAACAGCACATTCCTATAGTCCGTTGCACACAACGAAGATATGATTTGTCTTTCTCCCTGATACTTGAGCAAGTCCAGCGGGGATATTTTGTCCCGAATCCTGTGAGGAAGTATCACAAACGGCCAGCGCACACACGACCGCTCAGAAGCCGGTGACCACTGATCGGGTTACAAGATCGATGAAACTGCTCCACATCAACTGATCTCAAAATTAGTTGACTGGGGTGAGGCCTTGAAGTAGATCCATCGCAGAGCAGCCTTTTCAGAGGCTTTAGCGCGTAAAGTCGTAACTCAAGTGCCTACGGCGTAGGAGGGTTACCAAGCCATCGAGGCAGCTACAAAGTCTTGTAGCTGTCAGATTCAGAGTAGCCATGTGCAAAGCGTGGGCTTCATGCCTTTTATCGCCACCGTTCCTTAACGCTTATAGTGCTAGGATTCTAAAAGTCTATGACAAGTTCGTCTTACCACGAGGTTGAGCATGAACCATAGACTTTCTCAAGGCCGGTAGGAATTGGGTACTCAATCTATCATTCTACACCTTAAAATAGAAGCAACATGCGGAAAACAGATACCGGGATGCTATCGGGCCCCTTACTAGTCCATACAGCGCTCGACTCTATTGGAAATCACCTCTTGACCGTAGGGCAAGTTGGCCGGCCGGCCTCCAAAAACACTATATCAAAGATGACTTGTAATACTCAAATCACGAGAGGCTCAAGCTGTGTGTACCAGTTCAAACATCTAACTTGATATCCCAGGAGGTATTCTGCTGTTACATGCGGCTATGCCCACCAAAAATGCTTAGAAAGCATATGTACAAAGGGATAACACAATCATGATACGCGTATCAATCACTCTTCTCAACTCCTCCAAACACAGCTAGTCAACCCTCTTCAAGCTCAACTTAAACGGCTTCGGCAACACACTCTCAACCCTCCCATCATCCCCATACGTAAACTCGAAATGATCAAGCCCCTTATAGTTATACGTCGTCCGATCCATCGACAACCACGACACGCACGACGCATTAGGGAAGAAGAACATGTCATCAATCGCATCCCGCTGCTCCGCCGTAAACGTATCAAACAACGCCCTCCACGCCGTGACATTCCCCTCCTCCAACCCCGTGGGATACAACCTCGCCGTCCGCGTCGTAACGGGCGGCAGATCTGTCAGGTTGACTCCCAGGAACACGTACCGGCTCAGATTCGGCACGACGTCGAACCCCTTCATGTACCAGTCCTCCAACAACAGCCCCCATCCGCCGTCCAACGAGATCGTCAGGCTGGAATTGCTCGCCTCGTCCGCATACGTCCCCGCGATCCGCGCCTTGGCCTCGTCCCGCGCCGCCTCGTCGAGGGCGCGGATCAGGGGGGGCAAGAACTCGTTCATCTTGAGCGTGTAGTACGAAAACGCGGCCGCGCTGACTTCCGGCCCGGCAACGAGGATCGACATGGTGATACCGTGCTCCGGGGCCAGCGCCAGACCGGCGTGGTAGAGCATCAAGTCGCCGCCCTTGGTATACAACTCTATGAGCCTACCGTCCGCCGTGACGTTATCCGACAGAATCCCCTCCCACGGCGCGCCGACGAATTGGCCCGGTGCCGAGGTGAAGACGGACGGCTTGAGCCACCTCCGCGTCTTGGCCGGGCTGAGGAGGCGGTTCTGGAGGACGGCGTCGCCGAAGCGGAGCATGTCGGCCGTGGTGGAGAAGAGGCCGCCGGCCGGGTCCAGGGCGCCGAGGGTGAAGTTGAACCACTCGGTATCGTTGGCCGGGATGAACATTGTCTCGAGGCTCGTAGGGAGTTTACCGTAGGTAGTGTTTCCCATGCCCGCCGGTTCCAGGATAGACTCAAAGAGAACTTCCTCGAAGGGCTTGCCCGTGGCGCCTTCGACTGCCATGCCTACGAGGGTCGTGCCCAGGTTCGAGTAGACGGGTGTTTGGAAGGCTGGGTAGACGGGCGGTCGACGGTTCTTCATGGCGTCTAGGAATTCTAACGCGTTGTGTTAGGCTCTTGAGGGGACCTCGTGTCCAGAAACTTGGGAACATCGTCGGGTATGAGATAGCCACTTACCCTCTCTGGTGCAACCCTGGCCGCCCAGGAACCCTCCGCACTTGGGCTTCTCCTCCTTAGACACGGGAGGCAAGCCGAGAGACTCCCAATCACCGGGATACGCCGCGCCATCCGTCTGCACTGCACTCAAAGTTAGCCAACATGACCCTTCCCAAAGCCGGCAGAGAGACAGAGAGAGAACAGCTCTCTCCCCTTCTCTCGAGTAGACCCACTATCAGCTCCAACACCAGCATAATGCACAGCAGCAGCCTCAACACTAACATCCCGCCAATCCACATACTCAACCTTACTCCTCCCCTCCGTCCCCTCCGCCAACTCGGGAATATACGTCGCCACACTCTCATCCCACCTCAACACATCATCCCTCTGCAGCGCCGCCAGCACGGGAAACACCTTACTCACGCTCGCGAGTCGGTACACCGTATCCCGATCCACCACCTGCGCGCCCTGCGCATCGCGGTCCCGCGGCGTGAAGTGAAAGTCCACCAAGGGCTCCGCGCCCGGCGCCTCAAAGGCCGAGCTGACGCCGATGGAGACGGCCGAGGCGTTGTAGGCCGCCGTCTCGGCTTCCAGGGCCGCGATGAAGGCTGCGACGGCGGCGCGGACGGACGGGTGTGTGCTTGGTGATTTTGCGGCGGGGAGGACGGCGCCGAAGGGGGGGCATTGGTATGGTGTTGCGGTTGCGAGGCCCGCTAGGGTTGTTGCGGTTAAGGGGAGTGAGGGGCGCATTGTAGGATGAGTGTTGGGTTGGTATGTATGCTTGGGATGGTAGGGCAGGTCTTCAAGTCGTGTTAGTTCAGTAGATACATCTCCGGTGTTGCACCCAAGTCTTGTGTTCCTAGATAGATACTCACCACTCGTAAGAGATGAAGAACGGGAGTAATGCTTCACTCACTCACTTCGTTCCTACTTCGCGCTCACGGCTCAGGTTCTCCCTCTTCAATCGCGAATTCCAAGAGCATCCATCTTTATATACATACTTCCTAGATACACGACTTCCCACCCTCCTCTGCGCCGCAGGGCAGCATAGAAAACCCAACACACGCGTTCTAGAAGTTCGCCTGCGTGTGTGTTCCCGACCTTCCGCACCGAGCATGGCGGG